CTGACCTCTGGCATCAACAAGGCATTTCCGCCCACAGAACTGCCGCTCACTGGATGTTTTTTCTTTTTCGGACCATTCTCTGTAAACCCTAGGGATGGTTGTGCGTGAAAATCGTGGCACCAACAATCATGCCACGTTCAAAGTCACTCAAATCACCTTTCTTCCCCATACTGATGCTTGGTTTGAACTGCAGGATATTGTCTTGACCATGTCTACATGCCTAAATGAACTGAGTTGCGGCCATGTGATTGGCTGCTTAGAAATAAAGTGTTAACGGGCAGTTGGACAGGTGTACCTAATAAAGTGGCTGGTGAGTGTATATATATATTTTACTTTTTACTAAAATTTAAATCCTTGAAATTTTATCATCTTTCAAACACAATTTTGGAGCAAGGTAAGATAATAAATAATAGGAGATGCATGGTTGAATGCCATACATACAGGGCTAACTGCCACATGGGAGTAAATGTTAGCAACAAACACAGGTGTCAAGTAACCAAGTACAAATACTTTGTTACTGTACTTAAGTACACTTTTTAGGTATCTATACTTTACTCCATTACTTATTTTTCCTCCTACTTTAGACTTCTACTCATTACATTTTCACACAAGTATCTGGCGGCGAGCCGCTGGTGTGTGGGGGTCCGGGCGGCTCTGGCGGGGGTGGGATGTTGGGGGGCCGGTGTGGGCGGGCTGGCTGCGCTGATTGGGTACTCGGGTGGGTTTTCCCTTTTGGAGGCATGGCGGAGCTGCTTTCCCCCCGCTGATCGCGGCGGGTGAGGCTGCGGGGCGGGTGGGGGTTGGAGTGGCTCTGGCCGGCACGCGTTGGGGGGCCGGGGCGGCGGAGCTGCTCTGGCCGCGTGTCAGGGCCTGTCAGGGCCTGGTGTGCCTGGGGGGGGGGTTGGGTGCGGCGGACGTGGCTGCGCTGCTTTGGCTTCGTGGCGCCGGCTGCGGTCTGCTCTTCTTGCAGTTTTGCACCGGGCGGCTTTTCTGCTGTTGATTCTGTGCGCGGTGTGTTGCGTTGCACACTGTTGGCGTCGGTCTTGGTGGGGTGGGGCTGCACTTTTGGTCGGGGGGGTGTTTTGGGGGGGTCCTGCGGTGCTCGCGGCCGGTTCACGGCGGATGCGCATGGATCCGCTTGTGTGTTTTTCCTGGGTGGTGCGGTCGCGGTGGGTGTTGCGGTCGGTCGCCGGGGCTTGGTGCCGGGGGGCGGGGCGTGTTTCGGTGCTCTGTGGAGCTGGGGCGTTTCGGTCGGTGCCGTGGGGAGGGCGGTGTTCGGTGCCCGGCCCTACTTCAGGGTGGCCGGCTGCCGGCGGGGCCCGCAGACTCGTCCCCGCGGCTCCCCGGGGTGCTGGCATGGCGGTGGCTGGGGGGCTTCTTCGTGGCTGTCTCCCCTCCTCCCTTGGTGGAGGTCTGATTTCCGGGGCTGGCCCCTCCTTGGTTCGCCGGATCGTGGACTCCCGTCGTCGGGGTCGCGGTTGGCAGTACCTCGTCGACTGGGAGGGCTATGGTCCGGAGGACCGCACCTGGGTTCCTGGGTCATTCATCCTGGATCCATCTCTCATTGATGACTACAGGAATCATCCACTTCCTCTGGACCGCCAGGAGGCGGTCGTTGAGGGGGGGTACTGTTGGGATCTGGAGATCTGCCACCTGTCTCCAGCAGAGAGCGCTATGGGTCTCCTGAGCTGGAGCCTCCTGCACACCTGAGAATCATCAGCCCATCAGGAGACCTTCTACATAAGCAGCGGCCAGACCTGTCTTCAGCGCCGGATGTTGACCAGTTTTGGTTAGAGGAACCTTAGCCTCAGCTTGAACTAGAATCTCTGTCTGCTCTAGAGAGCAATCTGATCCTAACCAGTCTCTGTCTTCTCTGCTCTTAGGAAAAACCCGACTGAAGTCTGTAGCTCTGGAGGAACACATGTTTGGGAACCTGCCTGCCTGCCCAGAGAAGCCAAACCTGAAGATCCCCAGTCTGAATCTCCCAACTAGTTCTCAGGAGAGAACTAGAAGGACAACTCAAGGTCTGAATCTCGCTAGCCTGAAGCTAAGCACTGTCGCTGCTGAGCTCTCTGCTGGAATCACAGTCTCTGGACCCAACCGGTTCCCTCTCTCCACTGATCAGTCTGAACCTCATCAGTTACAAACCAGAATCAAAATGCTATCAAGTCATCGCTGCTACCTGGCTAACCAAACAATCCTCCTCTGCAGATTTCTCTGTGAAACCTAGTCCCGGACCAGTACCAGAACCAGTGCTTTGTTTACTCTGTGTGTGCCACTCTTTAATAAACTGTTAAACTTTTACCCTGCTTTGTGTGGTGTTCTGCATGTGGGTTTAATCACAGAGACCCATCATGACAGTGGGAGGATC